TAAAATACAGGAGGAGTTTGATTATATGACCTGTGTGTGTTTGGCGACTGCTAGAGATCTGAACAGGGAAGGGGAAGGAGCCCCCTGGTACCGAGGCTGTCTCATGACATGCCAAGAGTCTTGTTAGCATGAGGATTGTAGACTGGGAGAAAGGTAGAGGGAGTCAAGTATGATTTAGCATCCCCCTCTGGGCAAGGGGATTAAATAGACCGGGATTTTCAGCCCCTTCGCAGAGGGTGTGCCATCAGAAGTTCTTTTCACCTGGCAGGCTGGAGACGCAGGCCCACTTCAGCCACTCACCAAATGATTTATAACTTGGGCAGATGATCAAGCAGGGCTTCATTTCCCTTGTTTGTGGAATTGGACCAGTCACGCTGGGACTCTGATGAATAACAGGTATGGAAGCATTTGGCATGGTGACAGCTTTACCTATTTGGCCGCCATTCCCAGCAGTGACTTTGATTCACTGGCACCTTCCCTGAGTAAGGCTGACATAGTGAGGTGAGATAAAAGACCCTTGGGCCCCAGCAAGCACCCAGGAGCCTGAGTGTGTATTCCATCCGATTGTTTAGCATCTGTGTTGGAAGCAGACCTAGAAGGAACTGTAGCACAGTTCTTACTTCCGTAAGTATCTCCACTTTGCTCCTCTTCCACGCCAATGCCTCCACCCCTCCTCTGGCCCTGCAGAGCTGTACATACTGTCCTCACACTCCTAGCTCTAAGTAGCCCCATAGGCAAGCCCCTGCCACTGCAGGAGAGGTTTGCTTTTGCTGCTATGATTAGCTCCCTTGGCCCTACTCACACCAAGGCAGGGCAAGTCAGGCTAGGGGACTGTGTGCCAGGGATGGAACTCTGCCTCTTGGCAGGGCCTCTGCAGGGAGGGATGACCCAGGCGTTCCAGAGGTGAGAGGAAAAAAGCTATAGAAGAAAGGAGGGGGGAGAGTCAGGTGGTAAGGGAGGAGGGCACAGAGGCAAGAGAGGAAACTGAGTGCCATCCAGGGCTGAGATTTAGAATAGAGTGTAGGGGCCGGGCGCGGTGGCTCACGCCTGAAATCCTAGCACTCTGGGAGGCCGAAGCAGGCGGATTGCTCAAGGTCAGGAGTTTGAAACCAGCCTCAGCAAGAGTGAGACCCCGTCTCTACTATAAATAGAAAGAAATTAATTGGACAACTAATATATATAGAAAAAATTAGCCGGGCATGGTGGCGCATGCCTGTAGTCCCAGCTACTCGGGAGGCTGAGGCAGGAGGATTGCTTGAGCCCAGGAGTTTGAGGTTGCCGTGAGCTAGGCTGACGCCACGGCACTCACTCTAGCCTGGGCAACAAAGCGAGACTCTGTCTCAAAAAAAAAAAAAAAAAAGAATACAGTGTAGGAGGAAAAGGCCAGGGCCCGGAAGTCAGGCTGTTCAGGGTGAGGCCACAGAACAGAAGGCAGAGAGGGCCCCAGTGGACAGAGGGCTCATGCTTGCTTTGTAGTATTGGTCCCATGCTGCTGTTGGTGGCTTTCACAGCAGGTTGTCAGCCTGTTGGCCCTATGGGACAGAATCCAGACAGAAAACAGCTGACTGGGGCCACAGTGGACCAGAGCACTCTGGGTCTGCTGCAGTTTGTCACTTGGGTGCCTCTCCACCTTTGTACCAGAGATCATGGCCTACCCTTTGGCTCAGCTTAATCTTGAGCTGGCTCTCAGTTGCCAGAGCTTTTTGCCCTTCTCTGGGCTCACATGCTTTTCATAAGCTAGCTTCCTGCTGAGGGCTCTGGTAGCCAGGTCAGCATGCAATGCAGGTAGGGACAGAGGATGGGACTTTCTTGCACTGAAACCCCCAGTGCTGCTATTGCCCCCACAGGCTCCTGCACAGGCTGAGCTGTAGATCACACCCTGAATTCACTGTACCTGCTGAACCCCTTATGCTTCCTACTCAGTCACCAGCCCCTCAGTCTCACATAGGGAGTGCTCATCTTCAAGGGACAAAGTCGCCAGCAATTCTTAAAGGATGAACACACCAGCTTTGGCCCAGAAACCCTTCAAGTTGCTCTCTGCTGTCTGTATATCTCCTCCACAGCACACATCACCCCACCCCCAGACTCCAGCCTGGTTGATTTGCCCCAATTCAGGTGAGCAGCTCTGACTCTAGGCACAGCCCACCCTCTGTCACCTGCACAAGGAAGGACCTGAGCCTTTCTCTGCCCTCAGGACCACCCATGCTAGAAAGCAGATAGTGGCTTCATTGCTAAGATAACTCAGGGGACAGGAGTTTGCTACCCTGACCCCTTGTGAGGCCATCCTCAGTTGCAATTCCTTATATCCCTACAGCTGGTTTGGGACCTTGGCTTGTCAAGACTAAGTGGGCCAGGTGCAGTGGCTCACACCTGTAATCCTAGCACATTGGGAGGCCAAGGCGGGTGGATTGCTCAAGGTCAGGAGTTTGAGACCAGCCTGAGCAAGAGCAAGACCCTGTCTCTACCAAAAATAGAAACAAATTAATTGGCCAACTAAAACTATATAGAAAAAATTAGCTGGACATGGTAGTGCATGCCTGTAGTCCCAGCTACTCAGGAGGCTGAGGCAGGAGGATTGCTTGTCTCAAAAGCAAACAAGGATTGCTCTGTCTTAATTAAAGAAGAAAAAAAAAGACTAAGTAGTCAACTACCACCACCCCCACATAAAAAAAAAAAACACATAAAAGACCAAATATGGATCCCATTTATATGAAAAGTCACAAAAAGGCAGACCTATATAAAGATTAATGGTTGCCTGGAGCTGGGGGAGATTGGGAGGACAGGTGTCAAAATGTTCCAAAATTGTGGTAATAGTTACAGAAATTCCATGAATACAGTAAAAAACACTGTATGCTTTATTTTTTTGAGGCAGGCTCTTGCTCTGTTGCCCAGGCTAGAATGCAGGGTGTCATCATAGCTCAAATGCAACCTCAAAGTCCTGGGCTCAAGCAACTTCCCATCTAAGCCTTCCGAGTAGCTCTAACTAAAGGTATATGCCACCATGCCCAGCTAAATTTTATAGTTTTTCTTTTCTTTTTTATTTTTTTGAGACAGAATCTCATTCTGTTGCCCGGGATAGAGTGCTGTGGCATCAGCCTAGCTCACAGCAACCTCAAATTCCTGGCTCAAGCAATCCTCCTGCTTCAGCCTCCCAAAATGCTGGGATTATAGGTATGAGCTGCCTACCCGACCAAAACAATGTATGCTTAAATGGATAAATTGCATAGTATGTGAATCACATCTTAATAAAAATGTTACCAAAAACAAAAGATAAAAACTAGGTCAGGTGTGGTGGCTCACACCTGTAATCCTGTAACCACCTTTTCCCATGCTTGGGAACTCCCCACCACAAATCTAGACAGAACATAGGTTCCACCTCCCACCATATGAAATGGCTGCTCCCTGTTCCCTCAACTCCCTTTGCAGTCATGTGACCATTGCTTGGTTAATCAGAGGAAAGAAGGCAGAGAGTACCTTTTGGTGGCAATGTGGCACCTTCACATCAACATTCTGATTCTGAGGTAGAATTAAGAGTGCCTGTAATTGCTTAAACGTTATTCCTCCCACCCTACTTTTTTTTTAGAGGTTTTCTTCAAGCTTCTTAGTAGTTCTGACTCCAATAGTTGAAGTTTTTTGTTTTTGTCTGCCAGATCCATTCTTTGACTTTAAAGTAGGATTGACACTTGTGACACTGGGGTCCCTGCAGCACTGGATCCCTCACTCTCTCCTGGCAAGGCAAACTCAGGAGAAGAGTAGTTTATCCTTCATCTCCTTTCATTTCTATCATCACAGCTACATCTTTTCCCCCACCCCAGAGGCGTCAATAGATGTCCTGCCTTCTGATTCTACCTCTCTTCTTTTTCTTTAGAGCTGCTTTTAAGATGATAAGCTTCCTAATGTTCTATAGTTTCTTATGCCTTTCTAAAGTCCTGTTTGGGATTATCTGGACTTCCTGATTCTTAAGAGTTTATACATTTCATCAAATCTAGAAAATTCTTGGTCTCTCTAAAATATTCTCTCCTTCTGGAATTCAGATCCCATGTGTCAAACGTTTTCATACTTTTTCTTTAAACATAACTTTTTTTTTTTTTGAGACAGAGTCTCACTTTGTTGCCCAGGCTAGAGTGAGTGCCGTGGCGGCAGCCTAGCTCACGACAACCTCAAACTCCTGGGCTCAAGCAATCTGCTGCCTCAGCCTCCCGTGTAGCTGGGACTACAGGCATGCGCCACCATGCCCGGCTAATATTTTCTCTATATATATTAGTTTGCCAATTAATTTCTTTCTATTTATAGTAGAGATGGGGTCTCACTCTTGCTCAGGCTGGTTTCGAACTCCTGACCTCAAGCAATCCGCCCACCTCGGCCTCCCAGAGTGCTAGCATTACAGGTGTGAGCCACCACGCCCAGCCCATTTTATATTTCTAATATCTCAGTTTTTACCAGGTTGATTCTGTTGCCCATTGTTCCTAATGACTCTCGCTCATGGTGATTTTTTTCCTTGTGTGCTTTTGTGTTTTAATTGTAAGCTCATATTCCTGGAAATTTTATCTGAAAGAATACCTTGAGGCCCGGGTTTGAAGAACTATCCTCAAGAGAGGATTACATTTGCTTTTTACCAGGTGCCTGTTGACACTACCAATCTGAGACCACTTTAAACTAAGTTATCAGCTTGAGGATTTTCCAGGCCACATGGGTAGTATAAATTCCAGTTCCAAACAGTACTGAGGGCCAGCTGGGCTTACATATTATCAGGGGAGTTTTATGTTCCCACCTCCTACCTCCCTTTGCATTCCAAACCAAAGCCAAGTAGCTAGAGTTGTGGGATTGGTTCACTACTGAAATGACTGTCTTTGCAGAGCCAAGATTAAAGTAGGAGAAGTCTCTGATCTGACTTCCCACTTTCTAGAAGCTTTGGGTTTGTTGCCTAATCCCATACATAGCCCAGTAAAACAACAGTTCTAGGCCACCTACAAATCCCATAAAAAACAGAATAATAAAAAGATGAGTAACAAGAATGTTTATGAAGTGGCTTCTACATAAAATCCCAACCCTGGGAGCCATGAGCAGATTCCATGGCCTTCACTGGCCTCAGGGTCACTCACTGGCCCCTCTTCTTCTGTACCAGAATCACTGCTTTAAGGCAAGGATGGGAGGTGGTCATGAAGACATGATGAAGCAGATCCAAGCAGAGGCAGTGTGGCTGGGCAGAAGGCTGAGCTACTCTTCTTGTCAAGTCCTAGGGGCAGTTCAAGAGCTCTCCAGCCTTCTCTGAGCCAACCTAGTTCAATGGCAGCTGTGATTCTTGCCCTTGAACAGGAAGGAACCAGGAAAACAAGCCAAGCCCAAGACTGTCCCCATAGATCCATGTCTCCCTGAGGCAGTAGCAAAGCAGAGGACAGTTCCTTATTACTCTTTGCTCAAAGGGAGATGTCTCTTATCCTTGCCTGCATTTCGGCGCCTCTTTCTACTTAAGAAGCTCTCCAGCTTCCTTCTGCGTCTCAGCTCCTTGAACTTCTCTGCTAGGGCCAGCTGGCGCTGCTCAGCTAAATAACAGGGAGAATGAAAGCCGGTAAGCAAAGGAGGAATCCCACCCCCACCCCACCCCCATCCCATCCCTGCCTTGTTCCTTTTCCCTTTTCCTTTCCTGTTCCCATCATCCCATCCTATGTGGGGTAGGGGTAGATGGAGATAAAAGCAACAATCTCTGCCATAATCTAATTAGGGACACAAGATTGGTTACAAATAACCCTTCCCTACTATTTCTACTTTTATCCAAGTAACCGTGGGATCCAGCCTTCATGCCTTCCTTAAAGGAGCCCAGGGATCTCCAACACAGTACCTTGCCACTATAGCCCCCACACCCCTGTCCCATAACCTGCAATAGTTATGTCCCACTCACATTTCTTCAGGAAATATGGCCGATGGCCCTGCTGGGCCTGAGCCCGCCGTTCCTGCTTCAGGACCAGGTGCAGCTCCTGCTGCCGCTTTCGTTCCTGCTGTGCCATTTCTTGCTGCTCCTGAGGAGCAAAGATGAGATAAGATGAGATGGATAAACAAGACGGACCGTGAACAACCCCCACCTTTAATTGCTCTGACTACCCACTTGCAATTATTACCCACTCACCATTCGCTGAAGCAGCTGCTGCAGTTTCTCATGCTCCGCCCCTGCACGGTGCTTCTTCAATTGCTTTTTCACAAGCTCCACATTGGAAAATGAATATGATGGTTAACAATCTGTAAATGTTAGCTGAAATTCTGTGCTAAACATTATTTTAAGAGGTTCACATATATCAGCTCAATAACACTGAGACAGTAATTATTATCATTTTTATGATTAGCAAACTGAACCATTAAGAGATTAAGTAATTCACCAATGTTCATGCTGCTAGTAAATTGATGAGCCAGGATTTGAATCTAAGAACCAATTTAGGGAGAATTAAATCTGCACTGGCCAACAGGGTGGCTCACGCCTATAATCCTATCATTTTTTTCTGGGAGGCTAAGGCGGGAGGATCGCTTAAGCTCAGGAGTGCTTGAGCTCAGGATTTCGAGGCCAGCCTGATCAAGAGCGAGACTCTGTCTCTACCAAAAATAGAAAAAATTAGCTGGGCATGGTGGTGCGTGTCTGTAGTCCCAGCTAGTCAGGGGACTGAGGTAGGAGGAACTCTTGAGCCCAGGAGTTTAAGGTTGCTGTGAGCTAGGCTGATGCCTTGGCAATTTGCTCTTGGGAGGGAGGAAAAATCTGCAAATCTGCTCCCTGCTATGCTTCCTGCTCCCCAGTCCCCTCTGCCCAATTCTCTAACCTGTGCCCAGTCTCATCCTGCATACCTCTTTCTCTTTGGCTCGGATATCATCCAAGAATTGGTATGTTTTGTCAAACACCTCAGGATTATATTCTCCTGACAGATCATCAAAGCGGGGGTCCCGGGCTACCTTTGGAGAGAATAAGAGAATACAAAACAGAACTGTTCAGTTGCCTTTTACTGAAAGTAAAAGTGAGAAAGTGTTTCCTGCCTTTTCCTCACCTTTTTACAGATGGGAACAACCTGACGTAAAAATGGTACTTGGATCTTGGCTGACATTTCCAGAGGCCTACGGAGAAATTAAAAGGACAAGTCAAGGGGACTCCAGTTTTGGTCAATCGCTTCTTATCTGCAACCCAACAGAACAGAAATTTACTCAAGGTTCCACCTCCTAAGGCAGGCCTTGTTCCTCACCTGTGCTTATCTGCAACACATGCGCTTTGGACAGGTGGTCTAGAACCTTGTTTCTTAGTGCTGTTTGCAGCTACCAATTGTTTATATGTCTTAGTGCCCACTTGGCTCTGCAATTCCAACAGCTCCTCAAATGACATGTTAGATGTGCCTGCAGAAGGGAGGGACACACAACTCAGTTCAGCATGTCCCACTGCAGAAAGACATCATCCCATCCTCATTCCTTAGGTAGCTGATCCTTTTTAATGTCCCCTCTCAGACCAATAATTATTATACGTCCTAACAGAACAGGCTGTAATGGTGTTACACTGACACCTAACTCCCCAACTATTTTAGCTACCTGGTACCTCATCTTGATAAGGCAGGTGTATGTGTAAGGTCAAAGGTGGACTAAACTGTAGTCTTCTTTTTCACCCTCTCTTTTAAATTACTCTTCACAAGTTTCCCCCAAAAGGGCCTCCATCTCCCTTGCTCAGTTACACTGTCAATGTCCTGGTTCATACTCTCATCATCTCTTACCTCAATCAGTGCTCTAGCCTAGTAACTGGTCTCCCAACATCCAGCCTCACTCATCTCAAAGCTGAGCTCTCCACTTCAGCCTCAGAGGACAGAAAATGAAATCAGATCTTATCACTCCCACACATATACTTTAGATCATGTCACTCCTGAAATCAAAAACTCCCCACAGATTTCCATCTTGCTCAGAGAAAAAGCTGTATCTTACAGTGGCCTTAAGCCCCTGTGTGACCTGGCCCCCTGTAACATTTCTAATCTCATCTACCAATCTCCTCACTCCTCTCCAGTCAACTGGCCTCCTAGCAGTATGTTCCCACCTCAGTTCCTTTGCACATGTTGCCTCCACTTGGTACATTTCCCCACACATATGTATTGCCTGCGGCCTTACCTCCTTCAAGCCTCCGTTCAAATGTCACCTTCCTAGTGAGGCCTTCTCTACCTTAAAATTGTTACCCCTCCTCTGTTTCCTCTCTCTCCATATCCCGTCACTTAAAAAAAAAAATTGAGACATAATTCAAGTACCACGAAACTCGCCCCTTTATACAAAATCAGTGTTTTATTGCCTTTTATTAATTTGTCTTTTTTTTTTTTGAGACAGAGTCTCGGGCTGTTGTCTGGGCTAGAGTGCCGTGTCGTTGGCCTAGCTCACAGCAACCTCAAATTCCTGGGCTCAAACAATCCTCCTGCCTCAGCCTCCGGAGTAGCTGGGACCACAGGCATGAACCACCATACCCGGCGTATTTTTTGTGGAAACAGGCGTCTCGCTCTTGCTCAGGCTGGTCTCAACTCCTGATCTCAAGCGAGCCTCCCGCCTCGGCCTCCCAGAGTGATAGGATAACAAGGTGTGAGCCACCGCCCTTACACTCCATGAAGACAGGAATGTTTGACTACTTTATTCACTACTGTATCCTGAATAAAAGTCTGCGGAACTTGTTGAATACTGACTTACCAAGCCTTCACCAGCTAGTCAAGCCCTGTCCCGCCTCCGTGCTATATTGCACAAGCCGTTTCCCCGTTGCCGAAAACCCTCATCCTACCTTTTAAAAACTGCTCAGGATGTCCTAATCCCGGAAGCATCTCAACCCCCACTTCCCACTGAGCTGGGGGAGCTCCCAGAGTTTGCCTTTAAGAGAATCCAGGCTCGGGACCCCCGCCAGGCTCCTGAGAGCACTCCTCCCCACCTCCAGCCCCGTGCCCTCACCCCTCTGCAGGTCGCAGGCCACGGCGCCGGGCTTCAGCTCCCCGACGTCCTGAGCCCCGCGGGGACCTCGGGTGAGGGCCGCGGCCCCGGCTGAGGGACGTGTTCCCCGCATCAGCTCAGGCAGCGTTAGCAGTACAAATGGCGCTACTTCCGTTCGCGGCAGCCCCTGCCCCGCCTCTTCCGGCGTTCCCTGGAGGCCGGGTTTCGACGTGATGATGAATGGACAGAAAACACAGACTGCGCGCTCCAGCGGTCACCAGGGAGCTCAGCCCAAAGGAGAGCCCGCCCCAGAGAGAACGTCGTAACCTTCGGCTCGAGTTACATGGCACTGAGTTCCGCGCTCCAGAAGCTGGAGCTAGGCCTCGGTGGCATTTGGTTTCCTAACACCGTTGGCTGAGAAGCCAGAACCTCAGGAGTGCCCGTCTTCAGTACCCAGCCTCCCCAGACCCCACCGCTGGCTCTCGCCAACTCCACCGGATTTCACAGAAACACATCACACGTTTGGAGATTTTAATTCATTTTTACAAAATCTGACCTGGCTGAGCTTCAGGGTACAGCAACAGCTCAGGGAAGGGTGGGATTATCTGCTGGTCCCCACCTCCGCAGGTCGGGAAGAAGGAGGTCTCATGCCAACAGCAGCAACTCCTCTCAGCTCCCAGTCAATGCTCACGGCTCAAGCAAGGGGTGGAGGTGGGAGTGGGAGTAGGGGTAGGGGGAAGCTCCTGAGGCTCAGACTCTGCTTGCTTCTCCCTTCTCCCCATTCCCTTCCTAGCAGAGCCTAGCTGGCCTGGGGCAGAGCAGAGGCCCAAGGAGCAGTTGGAGGGAGGTGGATGGGGACAGAGCACCAAGGGGAAGGGGCCCTCGGCCCAAGGAGGGGAGGAACTTAGCCCTCCCACCCCTGCAGCTCCCCACTGAATTCACAGCACAGAAAACACCTCTAGTCCAACAACTCCACGGGGAGGTATGCGGAGTCCAGGGTCCAAAGGGGCAGGCAGGTGAGAGATGGGCAGGGGCAGTGAAGACAACAGCAGGCTTAGGAGGGAAAGTGGCAGAAACTTCCTCCTACCCATGGGAGGAGACGATGGGGCGACTGATATTGCTGTTGGTGGTCATGGCATTCAGCTCCCACCTGGAAGACCAACAATGACAGGCAGAAAGAACAGAAGGTGGGGAGCCCCCACCCCAAGCCCAGAATTGCTTGAACACACCAGTCCCTCCAACTTCTTAAAGCTCAACCGCCCACAGCCACCTCTTCCTTACAGCCCTACTAGGTTTAACAGTCATTCCCTACCCACCACCAAATCCAATACCTCCCACTCTTCTACCTCCAAGCTCACGTGGATTTCCTGTTTATGTTTATATATGTGGTCTCATGTCTGAGCACCTGGGATCTGTGTACACATCTCAATAAACATCCCAACCTACCTTTCTTGCTCTGCTCAGATTCAATCAGGCAGCCCCTCCACCTCACCCACACCAGAATGCCCATTTTTGTTTTCAACTCCCATTCTTTTAGGTATGACTCAGCTCTCCTATACTCCCTGAGGCCTTTCTCACCCATCCCATCATTTTAAATTAAATCCCTCTTTTTTTCAACAATTCTTTCATTCTACAAAGATTTACCAAGTATCTCCTTATGCCAAGACCCTAAAAAGTCTACTTGGTATTAGGTACTGGCACATATGTCAATCTTGGGCCAGGAATTTATCAGGTCAGATTTGTACATTCTATGTCACCAAATACTGAATACATAGACCCTCAGCAAGCAAGAGTTAAACTAAACTGATAAGAGGCATGGGAAATGTTTCAAAATGACCCTGAAAGGCAGAATTATACACAAAGTAACTTTTGGTGCTTGATTTGAACCTAAGAATGGAATTCAAAGGGAAGCAGCCAGGACCTGGAAATAATGAGATCCAGAGGCTCCTAAATGTGTCTTTGCAGCTAGATTCTAAGATTTAATCAATTATTCTTGGCATGTCAACAAATACTTTATAAGCTCAGGTCTCAGAAGGTAATGCTTCTGAGCTTGGTTTAAAAAACTGGATTGATTTTTAATTTCATATAACTTACCCAGCTGACAGTTTTATCATATGACAGGGGTAACTTCACCTCTTTGCATCTCATTTCCCACAAGTACAATATATCTCCAGCAGAACAAAAACGTCTGTCTCTTCCACAGTGAGACCAAACTAATCAGGTCATGCCTGTGCTGCTCACTTATCCTCAACCAATCCCTCCTTTTCCAACCACTCACTGTACCTGATGTCATGGGGCAAACAGGACTGGTCCAGGTTATACTGAATCACGGCCAGTTTGCACAGAGTCTTCAGACTAGGGCCTTTAAGGAAGGAGTTGGAGGAAGGAGATGGTCAAGGCCAAGGAAAGGATCCAGTCCTGGATATCACCGCCCAAAGATAGGGACCCTGAAGGCAGGAGCTCTTCAGGAATAATTGTACTTACTAAAGTCCAAAATGTGTAAGTCAGAATGATCTATGAGGTCAAACTCATCTCCCAGGCCTTCCTCAGGAGATGGACTGTAGGGATCAAAAGAGAGATGAAGGTAGGAGGAAAACTACCCACGAGACCCTCTTGCTCAAATACCTCCCACTCTCCCGTTAGTCACAGACTGAGGCCCTTCCCTGCATCCCTCCCCTCTCTCCTCCTAACCTGGTACCCCCAAAGAGGACAATCTTGTCACCAACAATACAGCAGCATTGGCGCCGGCGGGGACATGGTCCCTTCCCCTTCGGTTCAATCTTTTTCCAGCTAAAGGACACTAAAGAGAAATGTATATGGAAGTTCAATACCTTCCTAGTCCAGACATCTTCTCCACCCCCCATCCCCTCACCTACTCAGGATTATTATTTTCTTTTCCTCCCACCTCATTTGCTCCTGGTTCCTCCCCTAAAGGCAGTGCTCTTTACCAGGGTTAAACTTCCAGAGGTCATGGAAGTGCCGGTTCAGCCTTGCGTTATAGCCACCAAAGATATACAGCTCCCCGTTGTAGCCAACTGGAAGGAGAGAGGAATGTCAAAAGTGTGAGGAGGACAGGAAGGGGGACTCCACAGGGAAGTAACAAACACTCACAGGCTGAGTGGCTCCGGCGCCCCTCAGGCAGCACTGGAGTGGGTGGACAGTCCAGCCAGGCCTCAGTTCTGGTGTCAAAGACGCGAATGCGGTTGCAGTAAATCTCATTGTTGGAATGGAATGGCCCAAAGCGGTCAGCACGGCCCCCAAAGACATACATGTGATTTCCCAGCATTGTGGCTGAGTGGAAGTCCCTCCAACGTGCAGGGTTGCCCTGGGCAGGGGCAGAGAGATGAGGCAAGGGGATTAGCACAAAGGCTGGTAGGGGATCTGCTCTAACTGTTGGAGCTTCCTATGATTTCTTCACTGGAGGGTGGGGATCTGGGAGAAATAAAGGGCAAACCTTTGTACAGATAAGGGTCCAAGTCATGGTGCTGGTATCCAGCTTATGAATGTCATTGGAAAAACAGTCCGCCTGAGTGGGAAGAGAAAAGAAAGAAAAGAGGGAGCCAATAATCACTCTGTGACCCTCTATCTCTCCCCTCAAAACCTGCAAACAACCCAAAGCCTCCCATTCCACCACCCTAAATTCTCATTCCCACCAGAAACCTCCAGTTTCTTCCCAGACCTACCAGCTGTTCGTAGCCCCCGAAAATGTACATGATCTTGCCCAGGACACAAGCCGAATGTCCATCCCGGGCCCCAGGAACTGTTCCTGACACTCGGGGTGTGGACCATTTGTGAGCATCTGAAGGAGTGAGAGAATTGCCGAGGTAAGCAACCTCTGACACTCCCTCCTAAATTCTGGGGTGCCTTATTCCCCAGCCACCCCAACCCAAGCCTTTCCTGGGCCCCTGAGGCACCATGTGGCAGAATATAGTCTCTCTTGAAATGCATACTTACTGACATCAAAGGCATAGAGAACATTGCAGGCCCCTTCGGTGTCATTCCGCCCGCCCCAAAGGAAGACCATGTCGTCGATGAGGACGGTTGAGTGTCCATATCGCATGTAAGGGACCACAGGAGCCTGCCCGCGGATGGCGGGCCTCACTGGGGGCAGCTTTGTCCAACGCAAGGACACTGTGGGCACAGCTCTGCTCAGCCCTGGGAACCTCCCTCCAGGCTGTCCACCTTTCCCCAAACCAATCCCCTTGGCCACAGGGACCACCACCAAACCTCATTCAGCCACCCATTCCCCTCCCTGATGTGGGCACCCAGGGACAGTCCCAACGTTGGCTTACCTGCATTGAAAATGTGCACATCTATCTGACGCAGTGTCTCATAGTCTTCACCAGAGCAGTAACCCCCGAAGGAGTATACCCGGTGCCCAACAGCCACTGCAGCATGGTTCACCCTGCGGGGCCCGCCCTCCAGGTGCACTGTCCACCGTAACATCCCCTGGGCCACTGGTTACAGCAACATGCCCCCCCGGCACGGCCTGCTGCCTCTGCTACCTGCACACAAGTCAGGGCCACGGGCTTCTGAGGCAAGACTTCTTCCCAGCTCACTGTGACTCTGTCCAGGACTAGCACTTGCCTTCAAGTGTCACCCTGGTAGCCCTCCCACACCACCCCTTTGCAGGGACACTAGTCATAGCTCAGGTGGCTGGCCCTGGCCCAAGGGACCTGCTGAGGTCAAGGAGCTGGCCCAGGGGACCTGCTGAGGTCAGGGAGCTAGCCCTGGCCCTGTGTTCTCCAACAGCAAAGGGTGGGGCCACTCCAGCCTGATTCCCAGCTTAGAATCTGCTGATCATGGTTGTCCCCTACTCCTGGAAGCTCCACTCTGTCCCCATCTTGAAACAAACTTTAAGCCCCCTTCCCAGGCTGGGTATGTTTTCTTGTCTCTGCTCTGCTTACTGCCACCTCTCTAAGAATCTCTGTGTTCTTTAAGGTGGGGAAAGGGATCTCAAAATACTCACAACTATTAATAGCTCAGCCAGCCCCAGACAGTCCATTGAAAGCTGGCACGGGTGCTTCAAAGCAGAAAAGCTTTTAGGCTCTTAGAGTGGAACAATGCCCCTACCCAGGACAGGGTGGAATTGATCCAGGACCTCCATGTTAATACGGTTGGTTAGCCCCTCACAGGGAGCTCTTGTCAAGCTGAACTTTTGTCATCGGGGTCACCCAGGGCCCCCCACAAGCACAAGGAGTTCCTCCCACAGCTGTGCCTGGTATGTTGCCAGGACTGGGAACTTACGCCAGAAAGGTATGTGTATGCTTGGGATTGGTGATGGGGTGGGGGTTGGGAGGGGGGGTTTTCTCTTTTTGCCACTTCCCCAACCCTGCTATTGTGGTAGAAAACAAGCCATTTCCAGCAGTTCTTCCCCAACTTGGGTCCATGAAAGGGGGACAGGGGTGGGGATGTGCACTGGAAAGGAGAAAGGGGGCAAAAATGCCTTTGAGCGGGACATGAGAAAGACCCAGCATGAAAGGTCATGATCTCTTAAAGACAACCTGCCAACCTAGTGATAATAGGTACACTTGAGGGCTCTTTCAGGGAAATCCTCTCGAAACTGGCAATGCCTTTGCTGCCAGGCACCTGCTTGGGTTTGGGTGGATCATCTGCTCCCTGTTCAAGAAGCCCTGGCAGAAGGAAGGGCCAAGCAGAACCTTAGGCACAAAAAAAGCTCAAATAAGGGAGGCAGGCCTCTTGTAGGAAAGAGATGTGGTTTTCAGCTGGCTTGCCAGTCCCACCCACCCAACCTCCCCCAACCCCACACCCCAAGCTCTAAATAGCCACCCTACCCAACCTGAAATATCTCCAACAGGAAGCTACTCTCACTTCATTACTCCTGCTCTCAATCCAGAATATCTTGGATCTGGGCTTGTGCGCACAGTTAAGCGGTCCAAAGGCTTAAGAATTGAAGTCCTTCATCTTCCCTCATAGCCTCTATTCTCCCCCCCTTTCCGAAAGGTCAAGGTAAAGCAAAAAACGCACAGGAGAAGGGATAAGCAATGCAAACCAAAGATGAAGAAAGAAATCTTAGTTTCTCTTCCATAAGGACAATTCAAATTCAAGGAGAAAAAGCCCTTAGGGTCTTAGGGGCTTCTTTTATCTCTGGGTCTCACTGATCCTCCATCACTAATGCATTTTCAAGCTTTTTCGATCCGCTTAATGTATCTACCCCTCTTTCTGGTCTCTTGCAATTTAGACTCCCCATTTCTGGCCCTTCTTTATCTCCTGAGAGCTTTGTAGTTTTCCCATTTTTCCTTCTCCCACCACTTCAAGCTCCACCCAACAGCCCTCCATTTTCCCACCTCCACTAAGAGAAGAAAATTTAACATGTACTGACCACATATATTCTCCCCTGAATATGACTCTATCCCTGTCTTCTTCTAGACACCCCAGCCTCCCATCCCCCACAAAGCCAGGCACCACCCTCCACCCCTCGCCGCTTCCATTATGTTCAGCTTCTCCGTTCTCCTCATAACCCAGTCTTCCTTCCGATTTCCTTCAGTGCCTCCTCCAGCCACCAGGTCTCTTCCACTGGTCTCCTCAGCATCCTCCCCCAGCCCAGCTTTCCCCATTAACACTCTCCCATCATCCCCCTAGTTCACTCCCCACCCCCACCTCATCACTCTCAGGCCCCTCCCCCGCGACTCCAGCGGTAGGTATGGGCGACCCCAGCCCCTCCCCAATTCTTCCTTCCCCTCAACCCATCCCAGGCTACCTGCCAGGCCGGGCCGGGGCGGGGCCGCGGGTCCTCGCGCTGCCTGCAGCCTAGAACCCGTTGCGCGCCAACCGACGCCTCGGTCCCCAACGAGATAAACACTGCCAGGCTCCGTCCTTCCGGCGGGCAGCTGTGCGCGCGCGTGCAGTCCGAGCTAAGTGACCGAAGCCTTCCGGGACTTGTAGTCCGAAGGTTTCCCGAGGGACGTGAGGGCGGCGGCGGAGTGGGCAAGCGCCGAAGGAGAGATTCTGCGCATGTGCAGATATGTGTCAAACCCGAGGGGGTCGCTGGGTAATGCAGTCCTTTGTTTTCTGGGCTGGGAATGGCGGAGGCGGGCAAGGGGCGGACTCCTCGTCCTCGCTAGCGTCAATCATGAGCATGGGGCGGGGCTGGAGGACTAGGCTCCCCGGCCCGTCCTGCCCCGCCGGAAGTGAAGGTGCGAGTTCGGCCGCGGGCTCTGAGCGGGTGAGGCGCGCGGAGACACCAGCGCGGAGACTCAGTGGGGCGGGTGGGGGACGCCGCCCCTGAGGCCTGGAGGGCGTCTGTCAGGCGGTACGAAGGGGAACCTCTAGGAGAAGGGAGAAGGGGCGAGTAGGCCCTGTCTGGTGACCCGGGATTCCCAAGCGGGGGTGGGTTTCTCGTGGCGGTGTTTTTTAGGAGGTTGCAGAGCCTCTGGTTGGGCTTATTAAGGAATTGGCAGAGCAAGGCGGGTGGGGCCCTGTTGAAGATAAGAGCCCCGACTCGGAGAGTTAAGAGAGTGGAAGAGAGGGGGATGCAAGAATCTTGGGGATGGGAGCTGGTTTTGTAGACGCAAAAGGAGACCACAACGTGCTGGATGAGAGAATGAATGTGGTTTCATCCAATCCCTATCCTGCCTCCCTGTTCTTACAGCCCCTGCCCGGATGGCAGCAGTCGTTCTAGGGGGAGACACTATGGGCCCTGAGCGTATCTTCCCCAATCAGACTGAGGAACTGGGGCCACATCAGGGCCCTTCAGAAGGCACTGGGGATTGGAGCAGTGAGGAGCCTGAGGAAGAGCAGGAGGAAACGGGGGCAGGCCCAGCTGGCTACTCCTACCAGCCCCTCAACCAAGATCCTGAACAAGAAGAGGTAGAGCTGGCGCCAGTGGGGGATGGAGAAGATGTAGTTGCTGACATTCAGGATCGGATCCAGGTATGATGGAGGGTGTTCCTGAGTAGGTGAAGCTAGAATTCCTGAAAGGCTGGACCTGAACTGTCTTCTCTCTGGCTCCGTAGGCCTTGGGGCTTCATTTGCCAGACCCACCATTAGAGAGTGAGGATGAAGATGAGGGTGGAGCTACAGCATTAAGCAACCACAGTTCTATTCCCATGGACCCAGGTAAAAGAGACCATTCTTTCATTGTGGAATAATTATGAAGGAAATGGAGGGGGCTGAGTCAGTAGAAGGAAGTTACAGAGGAACACCTTATTTCTAAAAACATAGTTTACAAACTAAGATTCTGCAGACTTTAGCATCCAGGTGAAATGTTATTCTGCTAGACTTGGGGATGGGCAGGCTTGTCTAGACATAACAAGATGGATTTGGTGACCCCCACCATCCCAAAAGCTCTGAGTTGGTGCAAAGATTGGGAAGGGCAACTTGTCCCATTTTTTCTATCCCCTAACTGGTCTCTGGCTGTGATTTCAGAACACGTAGAGCTGGTGAAAAGGACGATGGCTGGAGTAAGCCTGCCTGCACCAGGGGTTCCTGCCTGGGCTCGGGAGATATCGGATGCCCAGTGGGAAGATGTGGTACAGAAAGCCCTCCAAGCTCGGCAGGCATCCCCTGCCTGGAAGTGACCACACTGAGAGCTGCCTTATCTCCCTACATTCCAGGCCAGAACCAGCAGAGGACTGAACACATCCCTGGTTGTAATGTCCATCTCCATCCTCACTGTCTCCCTTTTCACATCAAGGCAAATCAGACTTCTTCTCAGAGACCCACTTTATTCAGTTCTGTACATAAGGGGACATCGGCCCAAGCCCAACCCACCTTAGCATGTATCATTCTGTGGAGAATAAAGCACCCTATGTACACAGCCAAAAGCCATACTGCCTGTGCCCCTGGAACCTGGGTCCAGCCCTTCTCAGCCCCTTCCCCTTCCAAGGTCCTAAAAGAGACAAGTGAGGGCCTTTCCAGCATCAGCAGAAACAAGGAAATAAATAGGTGTTGGCGGAAGCTATGCTTGGGGCACTGCTCCCTGCTTCCTTCTTTCTAGCTATGAGAACCAATAGCATAGGAAAGCAGTCAGCTCCAGGGTGGTCCCTTCCATGTTTGTGATCCCAGGGCTGCTGCTGACCACAGAGGGGGCACAGGGTAGGGTATTTTCTCATCCCCCTTCTTGTCCATCTGGGCCCTATATTCATCACGTATTGTCCATAGCATATACTTTTCTCTTTTTGACCTCCCATGTTGTCTTGGTCAGGCAGTGGGAAAGAGGACATAATATAACCCCACCAACCTGCACACTGCTGGGGTTGGGGGCCTATTTGTGCTGCCGGGGGTTGGCTTCCCTCCAGCTATTCACTCCAGGGGCCAATGGGGCTTGACATAACTTTGGTGAGGATAATCTCCTGCTGTTCCCTATATGCTTCTGCAGGGGGGAGAGAGGAGGAGAGAACTCAAATGAGAATGAAGGGAAGAATAGAGGAGCATATGTATTCCTGTTTGTGTATTTCTCAGAGTAGCCTCAAGTAGCTGTGGGGTTAGGAACAGGAGGGGCACAGCCATCCCCAGGTTGTCTGAGCACTGAGCATCTGAGTGCTCAACCTCTCTGTACTAGCCACAGGGAGGCATGAACACATTTTGGGGAGAAGAGGGACTACTCTGTTGGTGTCCCTGCTTCAAGTGCCCATATCCCCTCCACAGAGTAGCTACAGAGGCGCTGCCTTGCCCCAAGGCAGCCAGTAGGGAACCGAAAGTGGAGGACTAGGGCAGCGTCCCAGGGCTGAGTGGGCTGTGGCCCTGTGGTGGGAAAGTGTGGGGGTCAGAGAGCCTCCTGGCTGGCAGTTAGGAACTCTTCCGCCCGCTTGTGTGCCTCCAGTGCCTTGATGGTGTACACATCCTGGGGCAGCTCTGACTTCCTCCGCAGTAGCACTTTCTCCTTCTTGATGTCCTTTAGCATCTGTGTGTGGACAGGGAGGAGAGGAATGGTGACTAATTCCCAGTGAATTCTGTTGTTTCCTCCCCTTATTCTTTGGCTCTGCTGCTCTTGTCTCCCTTCCCTTCCAGAGCTATTATTTCTAATCTACCCCACCCCCTGTGCCCTCCCACCTGCACAGCCTCAGTCTCCACCGTCCTCTTCAGAAGCTGGATGTCCTCTGCTGTGGGGGTCTCTGTCTCCATCGAGTACACAGGGGGCAGCGGTGGAGGAGCTCGGAACATGGGATACTGAGAGCGAGAGGAGGCAAGGATGAGCGGTGAGAGCCACTTCAGACGTTTGTGGGCCTGTCTGCCTTATATTCCACCTACAGCAAACTCTTCCCCAGCTCAACATGGGCCCCTCTGTTCATAGCAGTGGCAGAAAAACCTCACCTGGGGATTAAGCCGGGCAAGCTCCTCGATTTTTTGCCACATCTCTTCCCTTTCCTTCATTCGGAACCGGCCTCTGAGGGAGCAAAAGTAGAATTGGGGCTGGGCTTGACAGAAGCAAAGTGAGCTGGTGGTAGAAGATGAAAGTCTCCCGGGGAGAGAGATACTCACTTCTGCTTCTCTGCCTTATATTGTTGTGTGCAGTCATCAAACAGCTTCTGATTCATTTCCATAAACAGCTTCAGGGCATTATAGATCAGTCCATGGATTGTCCTGCCACCCAGAAGAAAGATGAGGTATAGGAGGCCAGAGCCTGCCATTAGTGCCAGGACCCCAATTTGTCCTCTCCTAGGGGGTGTCTCTGTTAGGAGTTTTCTTTCTCATTTACTACTCCCATTTCATAAACTTCTATAAAGTATAAGCAGATAGCTCTGGCCAAGTCATGTGACTTGAGACTGGCATTTCATGGTCTTTACAAATATTGGTCTAACTGTCCATCCTCCCCCCACCCCATGCTCCAAGGCCTACCTTGTTCCCACCACTTCCTACTCTCTAACCCACACTAATGGTGTCCTAGCAGCATGATGGACTGCATCTGCATAGACTGCACTATACTTGCTTTTAGTAGTAAAGTCTTTACAACTCCAGGATTCTTCCCACATACTGTCTAAGAGGATCATATCAGCTTCCCATAGCATAGAAATTATACCTCCAAAGCTGTGATGTGACCTGCAGAATAGCTGGCCCCAAGGATGCAGACTGCTACCCTGCTGTTTGGTATCATGGAAATCTCTCACATGGGCATCTTTCTTCTCCAGTCAGTCCCTCACGGTCCTATCAATATGCAGTGGGCACCAGTCCCACTTGCTGACTGACCAGGTTAAGATCCCTGGCTCCTTAGTTCTTTCACACTCTTCAAAGGTTCCAAAACCAGATCCCCACCCCAGCACCTTACTTGTTCCAGTGACTCTTGGAGTTCCTGTAGAGTGCAGGGAACATGATGGGGAGGACTCGGGCAGCATTGTCACTTATCAGGCTCATGATATACTCATTGTTCCAGTAATAGAGAGCACGCTCTGCCACCTGGTGGGGAGAAGTGGGACTCAGTGAGGGTATTGCTTGTTTCACTCAAGACCTGGGTTTCTAGGAGGCAGGGACAGGGATATGCTGGGTCTGAGTGTCACCTGGAAATGGGGGCTGGAGACACATTTGGCAAGCTGGCGGAAGAGTGGTTCCATCACTTTGCTGAACTCTGAAGGTTCAATGACGTCCAGAATCTCCTCTAGTTCATTCAAGAACATCACCTCCTTAGGGCTGTGGGTCTTGGGCCAAAATTTGAGAAGTCCCACAATCACCTGTGAAAAGAGGAGGACATGGGGATAAAATCCTCTATACCTGCCTGCTTCCCCAGGAAGCTTTCCTGCCCACTCTCCCCCACCCAGTGGGCACAGCTTAGGATGATCTCTGCTAACTGCTCATGTTTCTCTGGCTTGAATTTGTTTTCTAAGTGTATATATAGGCTTCACTTTTCCTTCAGAGAGGAAGCCACGTTATCTGTCAGGTGCTCCTGAGCACCTGCTTAAGGCACTGCTCAATAGGAACAGACTGGCAAGTAATGCTGGTGACAGTAAGTGGTAGACCTTGGGGCCCAGAAAGGGAGTTACCGGCTCAGTCAGACTGCTCTCCTTCTCCAGGAACT